CAGGATCCCCCTCCCTCCTCCCTCCCGCTTCTCCCTTAGTTTAATTAGTGCTAATGGAAAGTGGGCTCCATCACCACTTGGCGAACTGCCCAGGGGATGCCGGGCAGGTACAGGCTATAAATTACCTCAGAAAGCCTACGGGGAGGGGGCGGGTGGTACCCAGTGGAGTTGGCTTTATCTGTACCCACTCAGCAAAGCAGTGCCTGGGGACTATGCCAAGACAGCACCATGCTGGGACCTGTCCCCTTCTTCCTCCCCAGGGATGGGGATGTCTCTGCCCCCCCGAATGCTCCCTTGAATGCCCACAGAGGGGCAACAGGCAAAGGGATGGCACAAGAACCGCAGACAGATGGATGGACGGATGGGTACCTGCCCAGCATAGTGGCACAGCCTCCCTCTCCTGTGCCAGTAGGTACCTGAAGTTAGGGGCTGATGCCCACTCCAGTGCCAGGCAGGCCAGGTTGACAGTGGCGTAAACCAGGAGGAAGAAGGTGGTCACGACCCCCGCAATGGTGTTGAGTTTCCCAGAGAAAAGCACCAGCTGCAGAGAGCACAGGAGGGGGCACAGGGTGAATGCACCCCCCAGGATGGCACGTGCCTGGCTCCACAATGCCCAGACGAGGTGCCAAACCACCTTCATCCAGCAAGGCTGGGAAAGGAGCATTGCTGGCAAACTCACCTGCACCACCAGCCACGAGAGGATCACTGCCATCACTGGGTTCCCATTGGCAGAAGTCTTCTTGGCCAGTGCTAGCGCCCGGCCTGCAGGCAGAGGAGGGAGGTTGGGCTGGGGCACCCCACTGGGCCCCAACAGGCTCAGCCACCAGCCAGTAGTCCTGTCCCCACCCTGGGTGCTGAGAAGGGGGTAAACACCAGGGCACACAGGTGACCCAACTGGTCACATGCCGATTCCCACAGTATCATCCCCACACCAGGAAGGGGACACCCTGGTGCCAGGGCTGGTCCCCAGCAGGGACAACCTGCCAGGTGTGCTCTGGCAAGTGCCAGCACACTCCAGGCGCTCACCAAAGAGATCATCTCGGGCCAGGGCATACAGGATGCGAGATGCTCCAATGAGGTTGTTCATGGCCGCGGAAAGGGTGGCAGCGTAGATACCCACAGTGACCAGGGGCGGGAAGATACTGATGTCACGTAAGAAGCCATAGTCTTTCTGCAGGAGGATCCTGGAGAGGCATACAGACACATTGGCACCTGCTTCAGCTCAGGCCAGCATGCCCTGGTACTAATGGCCCTGGCAAGGGAACAGGTGGCCATACCTGTTGCAGGTGGCACACATGAGGAAAGCCAGCAGATTGTAGACGAGGTAGGTGAAGAGCACAGCAGAGATAGTGCCCCGTGGGATGGAGTAGCTTGGGCGTTTCAGGTCCCCTGTGGGCAGGAGCAAGCAGTATTAGTGCCCACCAGCACAGCACTCGCCTTGCTCTCCTCCAGCCTCAGCTCGACTCCCACTGCCACCCAGCCCAGCACCCCCTGCCCATACCTGACATGTTGGAGCCTGCCATGATGCCAGTGCAGCCGTTGAACATCACCGCAAAGACGGAGCTGAAGCTCATCCTCTGCCCGGTGGTGTAGTCCACCCCATACCCACCTGCAGAACACAGGGATACAAGCTGTGATGGGCTGTCCAGGGCAGCGTAGCCCTGCCATGTACCCTTTCCTCAATGTCCCCATACACAAGCCATAGGAAAACCTACGCCATGGAACCTGCTTTGTGCCCACAAGCTCCCCCCACCCTCCAGCGAGCCCCTGCTGATGTGGAGATGCCAGTGCCACAGTAGGTCCAGCAGGCAGGGGTGGGGAGAGCCCCTCCTTACCCCGCAGGTTGTCTTGTAGGGTGGCGAGAGAGAAGCCAGTGAAATTGCCATTCTCAGTCTTAGAGCCATTGAGGTGGGGCAGGTGGATGGGCACTCCGAGGGGCCGCGTGGCAAAGAAGTTTTTACACCCACAACGATGAGGAAGATGAGGAAGGTGGCCTTGGCGTAGATGGAGGCACCCACAAGGCACACAAGGAGGCAGAGGGCCAGCAGCACAGTGCCATAGAGCAGCTCATACCAGTAGCTCTGGGGCAAGACATGGAAGCCTGTGCCCACTTTTTGCCCTGAGGAGAGACAAGCCAGGATCAGTGAGGCTTGGAGGGGGAATCACTGGAGTGGATAGCCACCACTGCTGTGCCGGGCTTGACAGGCACTAACTCTGTTAGTTACCCTTACCAGAGGGCTGGGTAAGCTGTGCTGGCTACACTAGTCATGGTGCTTGGCATTCCCAGCAGGGCACTAGGGCTGCTTGGGTAAGGGACATCCACTGTCCCCTGCCACCAGACATGGGGTACTTACCAAGTGGGATTCCAAAGCTGTCCACCAGTGCCTCCACCAGCCCCAGCACATAGAGGGCACTGCCACACACGTTGGCCAGGAAAAACATGATTCCGATGCTGCCCCCAAACTCTGGGCCCAGAGCACGGCTGATCATATCTTGCTTGAGTCAAAGGAAGATGTCAGCAGCCCAAACCACCAGTGGGTGCTCCCACTCCTCCCTCCCAGGCCAAGGGAGTCCCCAGTGTGGCACCCCAAGGCCGCTGGGTGGTCAAACAATTTTGGCCCACATGCTTTGCCCCAGCAGCACCCACAACAAAGGATACAGTAGGCTCCTCCGGCATCCAGAGCCCCGTTGGTGGCAATGGCACACACAGACAGCACTGTCATGCCAATGATGAAGTATGCAACTGCAAACATGGCCAGGGCTTGGTACAACCCAGCATGGCCCACCACAAACCCTGCCGAAGATAGGGAGAGGCCAGTGAGCCCTTTAGCTGGGTATGGACCACTCCCAGGACAAGGTCCCTGGGCACAGCCAGAGCTCACCCCACTGAGGCACACGGGCTGCTCCCAACCTTGTGCCCACAGCTCCCCCAGACATGCCACCTCCTTCCCTGCCTGGATGGGTATATCCCCACCCAGCTGGTGCTTTCACTGGAGATCAAAATATCTCCACTCTCCTCCCATGCCAGGATCAGGCCCAGACGTGCCCTGGGTATGGGCAGCTCAGAGGGGCACAATCAAAAAACAAACAGGGCAGGGCCTCTACGGTCCACCCGGCCCCAAGGCACTGTGGGGGGTGCCGGGGCCCCCATGCCCTGCTGCCACCCTCAGCAGGCAGGAGGTGCCTTGAACCCCAGCTCGGGCATCAGGAACTG